CGAATACCAAACAAGAAAGCAAATTGATTTCCTTAAAGTCACATGTATAATAACAATGGGTTTACGCTATGTGTTAAATTTTTGATACCCAGGAAAACCTTCTGGACGCATTTGGGCTTTTTGTGCCAAAAACCCGAGTTCCTTAAGATCACAAAAATGATAACAATGAGTTTACGCTATATGTATAATTTTTGATACTTAGGATAACCTTCTGGACGCATTTGGACTAGCTAGTTGAATTTGTGCTAAAAAGCCCAAAATATAACTACTAGTGAAGAGGAAGGTTAAAGAAAATTATATAATATTAATCAAAAAAATACATAAAATAAACAAATTTATAATAATATTAAAATAATTATTATTTTAATTAAATTTAAGGATACTAATTTAAAATTAATTAATTACTTTTTAATTTACCTTCTAAATAAAATTTTAATTTAGATAAATAATTATTTAAATTCAAAAAAGTAAATACAATATATAATATTTTTATTGCTTTTTTTTATTAGAAACGATATGTATTTAAAAAAAATATATTTTTTAAAAAAAAGTTTTACATAATAACTATATATTTAAAATTAAATAAAAAATATATAGTATATATATTTAAAGTATATATAATTAGAGAAATTTATTTATATTTTAATAATAAATATTTTATAAAAATAAAATATTATAAAAAATAAAAAATATATATATATATAATTAACTAATATTTAAAAATATATTATTATTTTATGATACTAATAACTGAAAATTAGTATTTATGCAAAATTAATAAAAAATTTAACTTGAACTAATATTTTTTGAAGAGTTATATAAATAAAATGTTAATTTTAATAAATAAAGTATAACTTAGAATAAGAAATTAGGATTTTATTAAAAAATAAAATTCAATACAATTATATTTATGTATATGTAATATGTTTTGTATTTATCAATTTTTGATAAATTTAAGTTAAATTTTCTATATTTTTTAAATTCTCTGTCATTAAATAAGTCTTACAGTTATCCTATTTATACTAAATCTGCTAATATAAATAATTAAAATAATAATAATAGATAATTGATTAATAATATAAATTAATTAATAATATAAAGAAAATTTTCTAAAATAATATAATAATGTAACTTTGATCATGAGTATTATATTAGGTCAGCTGATCTTTTAATTAGTTATTTTTTATTACAATATTTATATATATAGAACTTTATAATAAAAAATAAAAAGACTGTTAGGAAAATAAATATTTTGGTTTAAAATTTATATTTAATATAAGTATAAAAGTAAAAAATATTTTTTCTAATAGTTTTTTCTTTTTTTTTTTTTTATTATAAAGGTCTATATTATAAATAAATGTTTTATAGGTTTAAATTATCAATTAATTATTCATTAAAATTTAAATTTATGTAGAAATAAAAAATAAAACTTATTAAATAAAAAGTAAGTTATTTAATATTATATTTAACATTTAGTTAATGGTATTTCTTATTTTAACTATTAATTAAATTTCTCGGATACAAGATTGTCGATCATTTCCATAAAAAAATATATGCATAATCTTGAAATTTTTTTAGATTTTGAAAAATTATTTTTAATTTCATAATTATTTAGTGATTTTATTGAAAGATAATTTAATAATGAGACATAAACAAGGAAAATCCGCTGTAAAATATATTAAAAATAAATTAGAAAGTGATCTATTTACAGAATTAAATTCTACAATACAAAATTTAAAGTTAAACAATGAAAACTCTCAAAGTATTTTAATGAAATGGACAGAAACTTTAGATAAAGTGTTAAATGATAACCTTTATCAAGCAAAGAATGATGATATTTCACGTCAACATAGGGAAATTCTTGAGAAAATAACTTCTCATATTATTTCAATCGCTAATTTTGGAGGTGAATTTGAATTTCGAATTTGATTGTTATGTCTTATTTTATTTTGTCAATTAAATTTGTCTTCTTTGTATTTAGTTAGCGAAAATTATTCCCTGATATTTAAATTATTTGATATCTTACTGCAGATTGAATATAGTATTATTCAGCAGCATATTGATTCTGTATGGAGGATTATTCTTGTGGTATGAAATGTTTATTTATCTTTTGCAGGTGGTTAACAAGTCTAATATAATTTTTTTTCAGTCTCAGATTGAATCGGCAGATTCTTGTGTCGAGTTGTTGAAAAGGCTATTGGAAATATATGCCAAATCTCGCGAAATGAATTTATATATTAAAGATCTTATATCAGCTTTAAGTAATATACAAATGGACGCAAACATGATATTAAAAACTCCATTATTCTGTCCTGCGATTTTGGACGAGTAAGTGTTCTTTTTAATGAAGTTAATTTATAGCAATAGAAAACATAGGCAAGGAATGATTATAAAATATATTTCTCTTAAAACTTTAGATTCTCGAGTAAAGTTGCAAATAATGTATCAATGCCTCAAGCCATTGAGATTATAACATCATTAACATCAGAAGTATGTGATGTATGTTTATCTGGCTTTATTGAACATAGTAAATTCGCAAAACTATTAAACAAGAGAAGGAAATTAGAAAAAGAACGTGCTTCTGATGTAAAAACCGTACAAATTATTGAGCCGTTGATTCTGTTAATGAGTAGCTTTTTGAAGGCATTGAGAATCACTGTCTCATTTAAAGATGAATTGGAAAAAGAATTTCAGGCAATATTTGACCGATTTATTTATCCGATCTTGTCTTGTGACTATGGCGACAAAGATGAATTATTATGTGGAAAAATGACATATGCAGCACTTAGTTTGCATCATGTTTTAGTAGATATTTCGTTAATATATTGGAAAAATACTTCGACCCCACATTTCATGACAATTTTGTGCGATAATACGTTTAAGAATCCGAAATCGATGTTGTTTTTGGTACGCTTATTTCCATATTACTTGGTTAATAATAATATATACATTGATATTTTATGAATTTTGATTTTATTTTAGAATAAAGTACGACTTCAACATGTTCATCGATCAATTTCGTCAATAAATTATCGAAATAACACAAATAATGATTCGGACGATTCAATCATCATTTTGCGTAAATTAATAGAATCAGTCCTTTATACTTTGAAAGAACCCGAAAATCTTGATGTTGGTTGGACAGGAAAATTGGTTGACTTGGACAATAAGAATTTTGCTGTTGCTAATTGTATGACTATCCTTGGAGATTGGCTTGATGTTGTAAGGTAACGCTAATCTTTTTTATTTATTCATAGAGAACGTCTTTCAACGGTCAAACTAATGAAATTTATTTTATTTTTAGCAATGTGTGTCATGAACATCATCTTGCACCCATTGTAAGGTTCATCATCAACTGGTCTATTACTTGTTCTTCAGTCTACTTGCAACCTCTCAAGGAGATTTCTGTTAGAACTTTATGCTTACAACTTTTAAAATCTGCTGAATTCTTTGAGTTGAAATCCTTGCGAAGTGTGTGATATTTTCTTTTTTAATTTAACTACCACGAATTATTTTATTTATTATTTAACCTCTTTTTTCAATATAGATATTTTTGTAAAGATATATCTAGAAGAAATATATAATTGCTTTCAACATATTCGTGATGAAGAAATGATTTCAAACGGAAATCATAAAGAATTAGACATGATTTTACTTATCAGTTTGCAAGGCCAACAATCGGAAAAATCAAATTTAATGGATAATGTGACGTCTTGCTTTAATAATAGCTTTAATAATATAAACCAAAAATTTTGTGTTTCTTTGAAAAGCATTGACAAGATTGCAAAATTTATTGCTTTATTACATTTATTCCCGATGGAATATTTTACAAAGCAAGAAATTGGTAATCTTTCGCTAGTTATACTGCTAATTGATAAATGGGTATCGTTTCTTAAGACAGAATCTTATGAAGAAGTAACGAGCACAATCAAATGCTCCATTTTATGCAGGAGTTTAATTCGTAAATTCATTGCTTATACGAATAAGAAAGATGATGTTTTAGTAAGTAGCTTAATAAATTTTTTTTTCTTTTAAATATTTAACTTAAAAATTGTATTATATTTAGAAAAAGGATGCGTCTTTTATTATGTGGTGGATATCTTCCATAAATGCATATCAAAAGTATATCACAGGTTACACCGATGATTTAGGGCATGATGATGTCGCAGTAATTCAAAACCTTTTTGAGCATTTCACTCAAATAACTTGTCAGACATTTTCACTTATAATAAGGTAATGATTGATCATTTTCGTATATTATATATCATTACATGGTTCATTAACCTTTCGTTTTCGCTAAATCATAGACAGATTCTCGTTGGGTATCCGGATGATGATGGGGATAAAATAAATTATTTAGATACTTTTGTAGATTATTTTAAAAATCTTTATGATGATGCAGAAAAATCTATTCCCGAAATGAAAGGTTCTTTTATGTCGTCGTCAAATGATGTTAGATGGAGATTTACTTTTGAATTTTTGAGTCTTGGTATAGAGTTCGCTGAAGCGCGCAAGTAAGATTCAATATCACTTTAAAATTCCAGAAAGATATTGATTTTGATATATTTGATTGTAGGTACTCGAAAAATGGTCGAATTGATCGCGAGAATTCTGTTTGGAGACTTTTTTTAACGCTGCAAAGCATCGTAAAAAACATTTTAAATGGAATTCTTTCAGATGTTCTTGATAAATCACTTCAAGAAATTCAAAATTCCAGTGATTTAAGTTGGAAAGAAAGTTTGTCTTTAGAACTGGGTAATAAGCTGAAAACATACAAGATATGTTTACAATATTATCATTTAGATAAAAATTTAGAATCGGAAGTTATCAAAGAAGGTATTTTAATTTATTTTTGAAACTTTTTTTTTTTTCTTTTACTAATACTGCTATATATACGTATATTACATTAATAAAGCGTCAAGTATGGTTTCCATGCTTTTAAAGATTTTTAAAATTACAACATCAATGCTACGCACAGGTTCTATGGAATTGGATAAGATACCTGATAATGAAGTATTAGTATTGAAACATTGTGTAACTTTATTATCGGTTGTTATTGATCTTACATCTTTAATCGAGTTTGTGTTTATTACGAATATTTCGCATCAAACGTTTACTCTAGTTTGTGACTTGATGAATATTTTCTATAATGAAGGTAAATTGATTGATTGATTGTGCTCGATTGGCAGACATATTGTTTAATTGTAATTGTAATTTAATTATATAAAATAGGTTCAAATCGTGAAGTTATGAAAGAGTTGGAGGCGATATTTAATTCAATTATTTCAAGAGGGTCAAATGAGATATATGATAATCTTGCTAATATTATTTTGGTTAAAATTGAAGATTTTCCATTTTCCAATGATACAAGCAAGTATGATTTAATATTTTTAATTCACCTGATTGATGTATTTCTTCGTAATTCCAATCATGGTAAGTATCACGATATATTATCCGTTTTGAAAACTTGAACGTTCAGAATTGCTCAATACGTTATATTTATAGGGAAATTACGTAGGTTGGAACAAAAACTTCCTAATTTACTTTGTGGAATTTGTGGTATGGCTGAGTTAGTAGATAAAGTTACACTTGGGATACAAACTTTACGAATATCGAAATTTCTTGTCTGTCACAGGGTAAGAATGAATGATGATGTTTCATAAGTTTTATCATGAATATAACGTTTTTATTTTTTATTAGGCATTTTCGTTTCAAAGTACGGATATTGGAATAGTTTTATCCATAGTGATAACCTTAACATCACCAAAACGACATTACGAAGATCATGAATACAAAGAGTTATTTGAAGAGATTTGTTATTTACTTTACAACATACTGATTCATCGTTGTGAACAATTAATTCATACCATACCAACATTTATATTTATTATACAAGGCATGTTTCATTGTTTTAAGAAAAATACAAGATCGATTAAAAATAATTTAAAAGAGATACAACAAAAAGAACAACAGTCGGGAAATCGACACATTTCATGGTGGGAAGTTCATTTGAAGGAACCATTATCAATCGAAAGTGCAAAAACATTCGCGAGGTTATTAACAATGATTTCACATGTTAAAAAACCCGGTAATAAGGCTTTTATTAAACATCTTCCTTCGTTATTATCAGAATATATTCATATACAAACGAGTAATAGTATATTAGAATTGAATATAAAGGATGTACTAAAAAATGGGATTTATTCATTATTGGATTTATGCGGACAATTTGAAAGGGACATGATAATGGTCAGTTTAGACCTAGTTGGTAAAAGTTTATTTAAAAGTTTATGGACTGAATATAACAAAGATTGGAAATATGTTGGAAGGGGATAGAATGTATAACAATGTAATGATACATTCTTAAATATTTTTTACCCTGAATAAATTGACTCCTTTCAACCATATTAGCATATGGTCGAGTTACTATATAGTAAATTGTTTGTCTAAACCATTAACCTACCTACCCTACATGATATTCATCGTGTTTCTATTGTCGAATCTTAAATTTTTATAAAATGAATTTAAACGTCCCATTAAAATTTAGAGAAGAGATAAGTAAACCAAAAACATGGACTCCAGAAGAATTATTAGAAAGACGCCGTAAATGGTATGGAGTATGTGAAAGGTGTGATAAGCCAAATGTTGCCGCAGCTTGGTGTGTATGTGACAGAAAAGAATTAGTTTCTAAAAAATGGACAAGTGGAAATAAATATGTGGATGAGTTTCTTAGAGAAAATCATCGTAATGCAATTGATCATAACAATTATTTAAAATGGGTTGAATTTAATAGTCTTACTGATATAAAACAGATTGGTGAAGGAGGTTTTGCCAAAGTGTATTCAGCTAATTGGCATTATTATAAAAACTTCATTAAAATAGTAGGTGGAAAGTACAAGTTAAAATTGGAACGTGAAGAACACACAACAGTAAAAAAAGTTGCACTTAAATCTTTAGAAGGATCAAATGATCTATCCGAAAAATATTTAGAACAGGTGAGTTATTCTTTTTATTTTTATTTTTATATATTTTTATTTTTTTTTTAAAAGTAAATTAATTCTTTTAACATAACAGATCAAAATTTTTTGGAATGTACAATCGGAACTAGGATCTGAACTTTTTTATGGAATTACGAAAGATCCTGATACAGGCGAATTGATGCTGATTGTAGAGTTAGCAGATGGCAACTTGCGCAGTTTTTTAAAAGAATCCAAAGACCTATCATGGAAGGAAAAATTAAAATATTTATCACTGATTTCTCGAAGACTTAGAAACTTTCATAGAATGGGATTCTGTCATAAGGATTTTCACTGTGGTAATATTTTAATAACGAGAAACCCTAAGGATGTACTTGTACTTGATTCAATTTGGATAACGGATTTCGGATTATCAGGGCCAGCAAATCAACCTTCAGATGAAGTTTATGGTGTGTTACCTTATGTAGCACCTGAAGTATTACTTAAAAAACCATATGACATGGCATCTGATGTTTATAGTTTAGGTATTATTATGACGGAATTTGCATCCGGGAATCCCCCTTATCATAATTATAAGCATGATGGATATCTTGCATTAGAAATTTGTAAAGGACTCAGACCTGAACTTGGAAAAGATACACCTCAAATTTTTAAGGACTTAACTTATATGTGTTTAAATGCTAATCCGGACAAGAGACCAACAAGTAAAGATTTAAAAGAAATACTGAGTTATTGGTATGATTGTGTATATGAAAAAGATGAGCAAAAGTTAGATGATATTGCTAAAGAAATTAGAGCAGCATTTGAAAAAGTGAATGGAGAAATACCAAAGTTCATAGTAAAATCAAACATTTCTAATGTTTATAAAAGTTCTTTATTAAAATATTCAAATCTACCAAAACCAGTAAATTCTTTACTTATTTCTACTTATATTAGTAAGTTTTTTTTTTCTTTTTTTTTTTTGTATTTTACTTTAATTACTTATTAATTTAATTAAATTTTAAGGTGATTCTACTCAAATTGATTTAAAGTTAGAAAGTATTTCTTTGATTGGTAAGTTCAATAATATTTATTATATATATTTTATATTATATATATTTATCTAATTTTGTCTAATAAATATCATTAAAGATGATGATTAAATAATTATGAGAAATTAAATTTGAAGTTTATGATAGTACCTTCTTATCATTAATATTTGGTTTTTAAATTATTCTTTTATTATGCATTTTATTTCTACAGCTATCATTGTTTGAAAAATCAATTACATTAAATATATACTGATTATATTCGTATTAATATAATAATAATACATTAATCTATTCTTTTAAAATTAATTTTTTTTATAAATTTTTTTTATATTTAAAATATTATTCTTTTAAAAAATATATAATTTATTTAATTTATTTTATGAATAAAAAATTTGAAACTTATAAAGCATTATTTATATTTATTAAACAAGTTTATTATATTAACTATCTAGTAAAAAATTTGATAAAAAATTATTTAGAAAATATGTATTTTTATTATGTATAAATTTTATATAATAATCTTACATTATATATGTTTTTTATTTGTAAAAACTTTAATTTAAAACAGAAAAGTAGAAAAAAATATATATTTTGTAATTATAAAATATATATAAAAAATATATATTAAATATAAATTTTGTAATTATAAAACATATATATTATAGTTATTAAGTAGAAAGGTTATTATATTATTGAGATGTAAATATCTCAAGTAATATAATATCCTTTAACTATATTATTAAAGTAAAAAACACTGTTACTTACACAAATAATTGGATTAGTTTATTAAAAACTTTTGCAAAAATTAAGAATTTAATAAAAGTATTAAAATATAGAGAATATCGATACTTTATATCATCATTTTAGTGAATATTTTATTAATATAACATGTAAAATGGAAAAATATATATAGCATATTTAGTAAAGGTTACTTTTATAGTAATAAATACAGTCAACTCTTTCTACAATGAATTTTGATATAACGAATTTTACAATATAACAGATTTTCATTGTCGGACAGATTTTTAAATATAAAAAACCCTTACTATACTGAATTTAGTAATTAAAAATTCGTACTACGTTTAACGAATTAAAGACAGAAAAATTTATATATAAAATGACTCTCTTTATAACGAATTTTCTCTATAACGAAATTTTTTTTTGATACAACGAA